TTAATTAACTCGCAAACAAATAGTTCTGATCGTTTCGGAGATGAAAATAAATTAAAAAAAGATTTTCAGAGATAAAGAATTAAAACGAAAGAAACAAAATGAATTGTGACGAGAGGAAAATAGCGATTTACCGAATACATGACAGTAAAATCAAGTCATGTGCAGTTTTAATTGTTGCGACAAAATTTGTTAATTAAAAGATTAATGTACTTTAATTTAATTTTTAGTTGATATTATAATAAAGTTATCAAGAATTTGTTTTTCTTTATATCAACTGCTTGGACAGTTTCTCATCGGTTTTATTTCCCCATATCTTCTCCTCCCCAGCTATGGGTAAAATAGCAGGGCAGACTGGGCCTTATAGCCATGCGTGTAACCAGTCTAGCTGATGAAAACTCTAAATTCAAACCACCTGCTACCTTATAGGTCCTAACTCTTTCGACAAAGGCTAGAAGAATGTAACTTCAAAAACAAATCCACTTCTGAGAAAAGGGACGGGGTACGCTCAACATCTAAAAAAGGAAACGGTAAGCCGTTGCCCTAATTTGTCTTAAATGTCACCATGAACCTTAACTGTCAGATGGAGGGGAGTGGTAACCACAGCGGCGGCGCTAAATGCGCTAACTGATTAGAATGAAATGAAATGTTATCTCATAAATACGTCCATCATTACCGATATCGTTTCTTTGTACTTCAGGATGTAAGTGATCATGACCCACCACAACTTCCTATCCTTTATAGATCCTTTAGTTAACTCTCCCAATCCCTGTTTTTGTCACTCGCTTTCGTCTGTCTCTCGTTTCTTCAATATATCTTGTGAGTGTTAAATTCTCCAAGCACTCTTTCCTCATTATGCGCTCCAGAAATGTCAACGTTATCTTTCTGATTCTGAGTAAGAATGCCTTTTTTTTGTTGTTTTCCTTTAAACTTCCTCATTACGCACATGTTCTGTCCATGGTTTTCTCAGCATCCTTTCGTGGAGCCACATATTTGTTGCCTCATCTTTATTCGTAAGGAGATTGCCCACCATTCACGGCCATATAGCAAGACCGATCCTGCCAAAAGGTTCAATGCTCTTTTTGTTTCTAACAGATTTTTCCTCTTTCATTCTGTTATATATCGCTGCCGACACTTGAGTTTGAACATAGATCGCCAGTGAGCAAACACAGGCGATCCCATTAATGAATTAAGTAGACCATGTGACCATAGTGGAAAGGTAGCGTGTGTCTAATTGATCACCATTTCTACTCTATCCTCTATTACTCTTCGGATCGTTATTCCTAGTATAGCCTCTATTAATATTCTGATCTCTATTTCTAGTCTATCCTCTATTACTATACGGACCACTATTCTCTACTCTATTCACCATACTTTCTCTATTCGGATCACTATACGGGTTACTATTCGAGCGAGTATTATCGAGCAAGTCCAATTAGTGCGAGAGTGTTGTTCAACGGCGTACTATAGTTTGTATCTGCGACGAAAGTGACAACGAGCATTTGTTGACATTACAAAAGTCAAACAAGTGTTCGCTGACATCACAAAACATTCATTGCATGTAAAACAGCATCTGATATTTAGAATAAGTTAAAATCCAATTCTCCAGAATTAAAAGTGTCACTAACAGCAACAAAAGACATAAAACTGTGAAAAGCCGTGATCGTGAATCTTCTGAAAAAAAAACCCCACATATATGTGACATGAAACTAATTCCGCTCCAAAGTGGACATTGGGGAGCATATCTTCTTTTGGGGGGATTTCTCGAGTGTGCAAACCGATAGAAGTGATACACACAGTTTAATAAGTAAACAAGGGGCGTTTATTTCAAATACGAAGCCTCCACTAGAATGACGTTTCAAGTTAGAAACATGCTGGATTAAAATGAAGTCGGAGTTTCCAACGAGTTTAAAATAAGGAAATTTTCTGCAGCAAAACCGGAGTTACTGATTTAATGATGAACGGCACAAGTGGGGGGGGGAGTTAGCCAGAGATAACTGAATAATGACGCCATGAATTTAAAGACTATGCTTTAAAAGTTGGTAGCATATTCCTCAGTTTTTTTGTACACGTTTGCATCTATTTTTTTAATCGTTCCACCCCAAGCAAGGCAATAAAGTCACTAAGACACCAAAGGTTTTCCGGGCGAGTATAATGTCTTATATTTATAAGATTATTACTAGTATATTTATTAATATATAAGGAGCATAGAATTTAACATTACTGCTAGCATAAAATTTACATTATCCACGTAGAAAGTAGATTTGACGTGAAAAGTTCGATGGAAGGCGATAAAGCCACTAAGATACAAGGGGGATGTCTGAGTGCGAAAGTGTGAGAAAAAAAGAGAAACATTACTAAGGAGCGAGAACAATAGAAGAGTAATCACGAAGAAAGTGTCAAAGGTGACTGGAAAGTGTCGAGCCAGAAGAGATTTCCACTAGCAAGAAGTGCGAGAGAAGAAATTGTTAGCAAAGAACTTACGCTTATATCTAACCATTTCAAATGTAAAACGATGAGACCTAGCTGCCAATCTTGTACTGCGCTTAATATACGATCGATTGCGTATAAGATAAAGTAGTAAAATACCATTTATTTCATTACAATTTTGATGAAACCAGACTGAATAGAGGAAAGAGGACTTGGGAAATTTGACATCAACAGGGCATACTGAAGGCAAAATGGACAAAAGAAAGCAGGACATAAGCTATCTAATGAGCTTGTTGGCAGAACAAGGATTACGAGAGATAGCAAAAAGACAAAACTTACTAAGGGCTTCAAAGGACAGAGGCAATTTTCATACGAGTGGAAAGGGCAGTGAGTAGGCTTTTATAAAATTCAAAACAAAACAGACGTTTGTCCATAGGCCGTTTATGGCTCAAAAGAAACTAGGCAAAAAGAGAATACGCATGATGCCGTCAAATAGTAGCATTACTCAAATATTAGAAATAAAAAAATAGAAATAATAAATACTAATGCTAATTAGCCGCTTCCCTACAGGAAACATTGGACATTCATTGACCGAACAGTTAGCATGGCATTAGTTTTATGGTATATGTGGCAAAAAGGAGAATTTACTCCATAGTATTACAAGCCATATAACAGAAAAGTTGGACACGTGTTGCCCGTATCAAGGTTCGTGGTGAAGAGATTGAATATAACGTCTTTTAGCGATATGTCCGTATTTCCGATGTGAACAGTTTTTTTTTATTGCATGCTTTAAATATTTTATTATGTTTTTATATTATAGAACGTCTTTATGTTATTAGTTCATTTTATTTATGATTTATAATTATTATTATTATTATTATTATTATTATTACTTTATATTTATAATAATAATAATAATAATACAGCAGTAGTTATAAACATTTTCTGTCCAATGCACCCTTTTCACCATATGTCAGAATGTCATCAACCCCACTTTCAAAAGTGACTGACCGACTCAAGCGGTACATTCATATATATATATATATATATATATATATATATATATATATATATATATATATATATATATATATATATTATTGAAAATCTTGATTCTTTCCGTATTAGTACAAATACATTTACATGTATTAATTTTATAGAGCAGTTTATTTACACTCATGATGGACTCCAAATTATGTAAATAGAAACCAGGATAAAGTAAAATATTTTCCCTTCCTGCCTAAAACCCTAAAATTCCCCCCTAGGGAAGATTTCTCACCTGGTCGAGAACATCTGACCGAGAGAATTAATTCGCTTGAAGCCATTTTAATTAGTAATCTGAGAAAACGGTTGCATGTAACTGATAGTTTAGATATTTCTGAACGAGTTAGATGCTATGTATGGCATCCACGTGAGAGCCTAGCGCTGACGAAGACGTTTAAGAACATGACTCAATTTCGTAGGCTAATATTTTTGATTTGTAGTATCTCACGGTGTTGTAAAAAACTGAACCAAACATAGAATACCCTCTGTTCAATTTTCTTACATTTTATACCAAATCAAAATGAGCTTTGAAAGCACGATTAATTCGATTAATCAAAAAGTAGTCTACTAGAATATGTCAACTTTTCTAGCTGAAAAAATACTTCACGAATATTAATATATATATATGGTTAAAGATCTCCATGAAAAAAAAACGTAAATTCATAGTAATACATAAAAATATAAATATTAAAATTCTATTTTAAATTAAAAAAAAAAAAATCATTCCAAACAAAACGATAATGCCACGAAGACGCAAAGGGCTACTGGGACTGAAAGAGAATGGGAAGTCTTTAGAAGGAACCGGAAACCCAATTCTAAACAGGAAGCAAAGGATAAACCTCTACTCCTCTTCGAAAAACGGTAGAAGTGGGGCAGTTTGAACCGGATGATAGGAGAACCTATCTTCTGTGGTTATCGTAATCATTCACTATTTTCATTGATCTGAGAAATGTTTGTATATATGTGATATTCTTGACAATTCTTCGTGGTTTTGGCGCCTCGTATGATATCCATTTAAGAATTAAGATCTGACGAGGCTATTTAAGAACATGACTCGAATTATTAGGTTAATATTTTATTTTTCTAGTACCTTCTATATGCCATGCTCTTTCAGGACGTTGACGATCATGGCTCTCCACAATTTCCTTTCCTTTGTAGTTCGTAAAAAATATCTTTTTGTAATCTTTCTTAAACACTGTCCTGCCATCTATTTACACAAACTCGTTAGGTTATGCACTGTTTTCCTCCATCCCTCTTGTCTGCAATATATCCCGTGAGTGTCAAATTTTCCAAGCCTGCTTTCATCATTCTCTACCCTAGAAATTTAAACTTTCTCTTCCTGATGTTACATATAAGTGTCCTTTTTGTTTCCATTTTCTCTAAAACTTCGTCGTTGTTCACTTGTTCAATGGCATTCTCAGCATCCTTCTGTAGAGCCAAATTTCTGTTTTTTCAAGTATTTTCTTCATCAGTGAGGAAATTCTCTAGAATTCATCGCTATATAGAAATAAAGTTTCAGGTGGAGTAATCTGGTATTCCCATGCGGTCTCTCATCTAGGTACTAACTAGGTTCGACGTTGCTTAACTTACGTTATCGCACGAGATACCGGTGTTTCAACGTGATATGGCCGTATTTTATAACTGCTCATGGTATTGTAAAGAGGTATTATAATTGTTTAAAGAAGACACGGTGGAGTAATGGATAGCGGCTCGGATTAAGGAATTGGAGACCTGAGTTCGAATTCCAGTCGAATCTATTATAGTCACTTAGGTGCTAATAGCCTTGGGAAAGGTGTGAATCCTCTTTTTCTCTCCCCACCCCCACCAGCCCCACAGCTAGGGGTAAATAGCAGGATAGACAGTGTTCTATCGCATAGGATGACAACTGGTCTACCGCAGAAAGAAATGGCAACCTACTGCGGAAAAAATCTGCCTCATCAGTCACGTATCGAAAGATACACGATCGCCTAAGCGTGTATGACATGTGGCACATAACTGACTGACTAATGCGCTAATACCCTTAGGAAAGGTATGAATCCTCTTCTTCTCCCCCCAGTTATGGGTCAATAGCAGGACAGACCGAGTTCTATAGCCTTGGATGGCAACTTGTCTACTGCAGAAAGAAATGGCAACATACTGCGGGAAAAATCTGCCTCGTCAGTCACGTATCGAAAGATATATGATCGTCTAATCGGGTATCAAGCATGGCACATAATTGACTGACTCTTTTCTTATTTTCTCATCAAATATTCGTGATACTTAATACTTTGCTTAGATTTTGGAAGGCATCTTCCGCTATCCCAGCACGCCTTCAGATTTCGCTGTCGCACGTCCCATCTTCTGTTAAACACTTCTGATATATTTAAGTTCTTGTATTTATTTAATTTTTAATTTTGCATGTTGGTCTGTTGCTTTTGCTTTTTCATTCTGTCTTCTTGCAATTGAGGATTAGTACTTTCTTCATGCCTTCTTTCTGTGGGAGTCCTAGTAGTTCCCTGTCCATGTCTCCTATCAACTGTGTGTCATCTGCATATTTTATGTTGTTAAGATTGTGGCTGCCAATAATAAATCCTCGTAAGACTTCTAATTCTCTCAGAATCGTCTAATTGTATAGGTTGGAATTTGTTATAACTGGCCCATACATCGAGATGTTTGAAGTGTTTAAAGCAAGGGTTGGCAACCTACGGACCGCGGGCCGGATCCGGCCCGCAAAGGCATTTTGACCGGCCTGCGAGCCTGATTACCAATGATTCTATTTTTAACATGAGAGACGACCTTCAAATGAAATTTGTTAGATGTCATTTTCCATAGAATGTCTACACATTTCAGTGCACTAAAAATATTAGACTATCTGCCAGTTATCTTTCATGAGACTTATTTTACCAAGTTGCGTTGCCTACGTTTAATGTCAAATAATGGATACATATTTGTTATGACCCTTGGCTACATTAAAAGGCAACAGAAGTGAAAGGAACGATAAAGTGAAAGAGGCCAGGGAGGGACTGACATGCGAGGTAGCAGAAATCTAAAGACAGTTAAACATACGCGAATTATACATACATGCCTCATGAATGTGTGGATGATACCGCATGTGTACGTACGTAAGTGTATATGTTTGCAACTATTTGTACTCGTATGTATGGGTATATGTGCTTCATTTTTGTTTGATGTGTGCGTGTGTGGTTCTTTTGTGGAACAATTTTCAATAACAGTTTAAAACCTACCATAATTTCATCCATTTCACTTCGGTTGATTTTTTTCACTTTGAAATATTTTGACGTTCCTTGAGGATAAGTAAATTTTGTTAGGTGTTTTTTTTAATTTTAGATTTTCTTTTGTTTTTTTTTGTTTTTATTATGGTTTTAAATATTTAGGTTGACAGGGGTCTGCATATGTAATTTTCTTTAATTTTTCATTAATGGCCTTCGTCCGGCCCGCAACCCGTCATTATAACACGAGGTCGAATGAGTTGCCGACCCCTGGTTTAAAGTTTATTAACTCCACATTCTGAATTTTTACCAAAACGCATTGTTGTATAATTGATCGGTCCGTTGGTACAAAAGAAAAATAAATTTTAACTTATGATCATTCTACGATGAATTTTGATGCAGCTGAAATGATTAGTTGTATTTGAGCTGAGTCATTTATCAATTCATATAAACAAATGCCAAATATATTTGACAAGTGTAAATTATTAGAAGATACTGCGGTGGACATCTTTCCCGCGCTAAATTGATATGGATTACCGCTGGGGAACTAGTTGTACAGAACATGAAACGTAGAAAAGCACGTATTGCCGGCAAGAGGAATAGCTCAATGCATCAGCTATGAATTGGAGACGCTGAAAACAAAGCAAGTATAGTTTTTTAACCGCCATATCTCGCTGCTTGTAAGACGCCCTGATATATTAGACGCCGTCTCTACCAACATTTTGAAGGAAGAAATGGGTAGAAAGGGTTTTTTTTTGTAATTCATAGCCCTCCATATTTCACACACAGACTCGTATATCTCCGTACAAAGCAAGGCAATAAAGCGAATAAGACGCGAGGAGACAAAATAACGATTACATCTCAACTGTAAAATGAGTAAACCTTGTCACCAATCTGGTCCTGTGCTTAAAGACATAAAATCTACAACAAGAATTAAGACGACAAAATAACGATTGATATTACATTTAAATTTTTAAGGTTGACTGGGAAGCAAGAAGCCGGAAGAGATTTCCGCAAGCTAGAAGTGCGATAGAAGAAACTGTTAGCATAGAACTTACGGTTACATCTTGCAATTTCAACTGTAAACTGAGTAAATCTTGTCACAGATCTGGTCCTGGTTTTAAAGACATAAAGTCTACGTACTATAGAGGAAAGTTCGTCAGAACAATTACCATGGAAGTATTTATAGAAAAGGCACAGGGAAGGTGCGTTACGGCAGCGGGAAAGCAACTGAAGTCGAGATGCCAGGGGAGGGGGATATCATAACAAAGTCATCACAAGCCGAGAAGATGTACCACATTTATGGTAACTATTTAGAATGTAATAATTACAAAAGAAATTAGAGGAAATAATACAAATGAGACCAAACCTTATTGAAATAAGATATTAAATCATACTTATTATAAAACCCAGGTTGTGTGTATGTGTGTGTCTGTTCGTTTATATATTGGATCAGATTTCCTACATTTTTCAACCGATTTCAACAAAACTTCGCAGGACTACGTAAAATTACCTTGCGGTGGTTCTGACAGCGCCAACAATGGGAAAAACACAATTGTTTTTGCACAAAATCAATTTGAAAACACTATTAAGAGGCATCGCGAGAATGAAAGGGGGACAACTCATATCGTGTTATACTTATTATAAAACCCAGGTTGTTTGTGTGTGTGTGTGTGTGTGTGTGTTCGTTTATATATGGGATCGGATTTTCTACATTTTTCAACCGATTTCAACAAAACTTCACTTTTTTTTTTGGCAGGTAGTGTTTCTTATTGTCTTGCACACTTTTTTCTTTATTTTTAACATTCAGAATGCTTTAAAATTCCATTTACAAGACAAGTGTTTATAATAAAATTCTATTCACCAATCGATAGACTCATAACGATTGTAAACAATGTTTTTGTTTGAGTTTGGGTTTGACCAATTCGTAAAAAAAAAAAACTAATTAAGACATGCGTGTTCGTCAACCTTAAATAATAATCTTTGTCAATTTTATTTTTCAGTCTTTATGATGGTCGATACTTGATCTATCTCTTACTGTTACATCCCCGGGCAACGCCGGGCTCTACTGCTAGTAACCGCTAATCGCGCACCCGACACCTCAAACTTATAACCCCGGTGACCGAACTTCGATTTATAGGACGCATGGTGGTTTTTGAAGATATTTTATAGGGGGAAAGGCGTCTTTAAGCGACAGAATAGGGTAAGTGTCTTAACAAACCACAGAAAATATGAAACTGAAATCCAGAAGCTATCTACTGCCCTCCTTCAAAATTTTAAATCCAGTCTCAGGCATTATCTACTGTCTCTTTGAATCCTGATATTTTTTTATTGTCCTCTCTACTTAATAATGATTTTGTCGGATTCTTTGACAGCGTCTTAGCGGCTTTATCACCTTACTTAGGGTGAAATGATTGCAAAAAACTTTATTATTGGTAATATATCTTCCAAAAAAGTATTGTCGGTAATACTTTTTTTCTTAAATAATTATTTGCGAAAATGTATTGCTGGTAATATTTTTTCCTTCAAAAATGCATTACTGGTAATAGTTTTTTTCCTTCAAAGATGTATTACTCGTAATATTTTTTCTTAAAAATGTATTGCTGGTAATAATGTATTGCTGGTAATAATTATTTACGAAAACGTATTGCTGGTAATATTTTTTCCTTCAAAAATGCATTGCTGGTAATAGTTTTTTTCCTTCAAAGATGTATTACTCGTAATATTTTTTCTTAAAAATGTATTGCTGGTAATAATGTATTGCTGGTAATAATTATTACTGGTAATAATTATTTACGAAAACGTATTGCTGGTAATATTTTTTCCTTCAAAAATGCATTGCTGGTAATAGTTTTTTTTTCTTCAAAGATGTATTACTGGTAATATTTTTTCTTAAAAATGTATTGCTGGTAATAATTATTACTGGTAATAATTATTTACGAAAATGTATTGCTGGTAATATTTTTTCCTTCAAAAATGCATTGCTGGTAATAATTATTTTCTTCAAAAATTCATTACTGGCTATAATTTTTTTACAAAAAAAATGTATTGCAACTATTTGTACTCACTAAAACTATTTTTACACTTTCATAGACCCCAGTTTGGAGGTTAAGAATTTCCCCCATAGCTGGGACCCTAATAGCTGCTAACACACCGGGTCGGGGTGGACCTGGAAATACCAGCAATTATGCGGTTCTACGCTCCTTAAAACCTCATGATCAGAGACCTTGCTGTTGGATATAGTTAATCATCTTACCGCTTTTCTCTTCCAAAATGTATTGTTGGTAATTTTTTTTTTAATAGAAAACATATTGTTACGGTTTTTTGGGTATATACCGTGTGTAACTAGTGAGCGTGTCAAAATGACTTAATTCCCTTTATAGTCGACCAATAGAAGGTTGACCAATCAGAAGCCGCTGAACATTGTATCCGTCGTGTATAAAGGCGGCCATCTTTGTTTTCTCACCGGAAGGACCAGAGGAAACTTGTCAGGCGAACATGACAGACGGAAGAACTACGCTCTGCTACTTTGCTGCGATATCCACTGCGAACCTGCACTACGCTTTCCTACTGTCTCCGAAATATTCACTGCCAACCTCTGGATTCTATACTCGAGGACGACCGTCATGAAAATGTCAACACATATTTCTGATATTAAAACGTAGTTTTACACTTTCATAGTGTTTTGACCCCACTTTGCGGGTTAACTATTTTTCCATAGCTGGGACCCTAATAACTGCTAACACCCCGGATCAGGGTGGACCTGGGAATACCAGCAATTAAGAGGTAGTTTCCCGCTGCTCAAAATCTGATTAGGTGGTCTTGCTGTTGGATGTAGTTTATCGTTTTACTCAGGACGCTGATGTCGTTTATCGTCAAAACCAAGACGGGTCGATTTAGGTAGCCACATGTTGGGTGTGAATTGGCTGTACAGATTGACCGTCTCCACAGCTTTATGAGCATTTGCGGATATCCTGCTGAGATATCCACGGCCTTCTATCGCAAACGATGTCTATTTAGGGCTTAATTGTTTCCCACACTTCAGTGTAGCTAAAAGTGTCCAAGAGAAAACCCACTGGTGTGTGTGGAATGACGCGTCTTTTATTGCTCATCATCCCTAAAACCCTTAAAGAAGCGGGAAAATTGATGGAAATGACATGGGGAGGGCATCAGAGAGGATCACCACATAACCGTTTTATTATTTCTCCGGTTCATCTTATCGATCTTGGTTTTTCACTGAAAAAGGAAAAAACATTCCAGGTTCTTTCGGGATGTTTCAATTTGTTTTGCTCGGAGCAACCATTATTTTTGTGGGTGTGCAGGCATGAACAGCCGTTTCCCCCATCACGTATGACTTGTGAAGAATGTCAGCATAGTCCATTATATACTCTGAGAAACCTGGAGATCGCTGGCAATGGCCATTCTGGACCTGTGAGGATTTGCATAGTTAATATTGTGCACAATGCATTGCAGTTTCTTCTGGATGTTTCAAATTGTTTTTCTCGAAGCAACCGTTTTTCTTGTGGGTGTGCAGGCATGAACAGCCCGTTCCCCCATCACGTATGACTTGTAAAAAATGTCAGCATAGACCACTATGTAGATTGTACTCTGAGAGATCTGGAGATCGCTGGCAATGGCCATCGTGAACCTGTGAGGATTCGCATAGATAATATTGTGCACAGTGTGTTGCAGTTTCTTTTGGATGTTTCAACTTGTTTTTCTCGGATCAACCGTTATGCTTTTGGGTGTGCAGGCACGAACAGCCGTCTCCTCCATCACGTATGACTTGTGAAGAATACCATCATAGACCACTATGTACTCTGAGAGACCTGGATACTTCTGGCAATGGCCCTTGTGGAGGTATCGTGATTCATATCGATAATTTCCAGCGACGGCTGTACGAATTGGGGTGATCCTGAACGCCGTGAATGTATTTTGCGCGTCGCTACAGGCGACCCATTCTCGCTGAAGTCATCCAATGCCTTCCGAACTTTGTGCAAAAACGACCTGGCGACTTCCTCCAAACATGTAATCCCAATATCGCTGATAAATCGTTACGATAAACATTGCGTTTATCGTAACACTTAACAGAAATGTTGTACCAGCCTATGCGGTAACCGATGGTTGGACATTGATGTTCTGAAGAAATGAGAGCACATTAATTATTTAATTGCAGCGCACAATCACTGACCTCAAATAACTTAGGCACCCTGTATATATTGTGGGTAGAAGGCACGGTAGAGTAATCGCTAGTGACTCGGATTAAGGAATCGGAGAGCCGAGTTCGAATTCCAGTCGAATCCATTACATTCATTTACGTGTTAATACCCTTGGGAAAGGTATGAATCATCTCCCCCCAGCTATGGGTAAATAGCAGCAGAGACCAGGTTCTATAGCCTTGGATGACAACTAGTCTACCATAGAAAAAATCTACTAGTCTACTGTGGGAAAACATCAGTCATGTATGGGAAGATACATGATCGCCTAAGCGTGTATCACATATGGCTCACGACTAATTGATATATCGTGTTTCGTTCAGATATTGAGTATAATATATATTCTTCTTATTAAAATTATACAAAAACAGTATCTTGTTTAGCGGTTTTAAGCTTATTATAGATTCAAAACGAAATAAATGTCTATTTATAATTAAATCCGAAATGTATAGGTCAGCGAAACATATTCTGGCTATAGACAAATAATACATATATAGGGATAATAAAGAGGTGTAGTGAAGTAATCGGGAAGCCTAGTTCGAATTTCGGTCGAGTTCATTACATTCATTCACTTACTTGGGAAAGGTATGAATCCATCTCTTCTGTAACGAGGCAATGGAAATATTGGGTCCTATAGCCTTGGGAATCAAGGATTATTTTTAAATCCTAGAATACCAACCTCTAATACATATATTGATAAAACAAACACACAGACGGACATACACTCTTAATATCCAGACTTAAACAATTGGAGGTGCTAAGCTAAGGTAATTAATTAGATTTATGATACCCACAGTTTTGTCTTTCTTTTATTTTAACCTGTGGAAGTCAAGAAAAAAAAAAACGTATGCTCTCCGGCAAAATGCGTCCTTAATAAAGGTTTTCGTCTTTGTTCTATCATTTTCGTTTTGGGATACTATTATACATCCTATAAACACTTATATTTTATTAAATAAAAATATATATAAAGATTTTGCTTGTTATTCATTATTTTATTTTAGTACCTGTTGAGTTCCTTTACCTATTTAAAAAAAAAACAAAAAAAAAAAAAAAACGGTGGTTTTTCTAAATCCTTTTGATCAAAGTCCATGCAGGATTTTATGTATGGACCCGGAATAATAGATTTCACACACGCACACAAAAATGTAATTGAAAGAAAGGTGTTGGTCAGAACGCGTTGGGCGGGAAAACGTGTCCATATGTGCAGAACTGTGAAGAAAAAGAAAGAAAGAAAAATCGAATAATTATAGAATCGAATGGATTGGGCGCCATTAGTAAAGCGGGGCATGCATATCAGAACGAGGCCACTTCGATATGACGTCAACAGAGGTATGTGGCAGGGAAATGCATATTTGCCCAATGTTAACTAATATCAATAAATTATTTGCTTTTGATTGAACTGATTCCACAGAAAAAAAGAATAGACATGCACAAAAACACACAGAGAACTCACTACTCATACACTAATTTCATTTTTAACATCTCTCTCTCTCTCTCTCTCTCTCTCTATATCTATATCTATATATATATATATATATATATATATATATATATATATATATAAGTGGGGGGTGTACTGGATAGTTGATCAGAATGCGAAATCGGAGAGTTGAGTTCGAATTCCAGTCGCGTTCGATGCGTTCACTTATACACTCGGGAAAGATGTGACTCCATCTTGTCATCTTCCTTTAGCTATGGGTTAAATAACAAGGTAAACTGGACTATTTAGCCTTGGTAACAAGTCTAGGAGAAGCACAACTGTGGATTCAGCTAACGGCCACATCACGTTGAAATAGCGGTTCCCTTACGATCAGCTAGGTTAAGCAACATCGAGCCTGCTCAGAATCTAGATGGGTGACCGATTTGGGACACCGGGCACTGTATGTGCAGGGAAATATAATGGATAATAGCCTGTAATGTTTAAAACCCTATTTTGCGAATTCCCTCACGCACACACACACACACACACACTGTCTGTCTGTCTGTCTCTCTCTCTATCTATCTCTCTATATATATATATATATATATATAGAGAGAGAGAGAGAGAGAGAGAGATTCAGTAAATGAAGAAAAGTTCAAGTGTCCGATTTGGTTAGCCGACTAAAGTGCTGCGCGTCAAACCTCTCATCAGGAACAGAAAAAAAATATTTCTTTTTAAAATGAAAGATGTAGTAGTACCCCTAAAGATATTCAATAGAAACAGTAAAATCGGTTACAGTTTTACCGAGAATATAGCCCAATCAAAAAAGCATGACAGAAAAAAAGCAACAAATCACCCGCACAAATCAATCCCACCTGTAACAGCAGAGAAAAGCATGAATGCCCCTTAAACGGCAATTTATTTGAAAGCAATATTATATACCAAGCCACTCTAACATCACCAAGATAAAGAAGCAAATGAAAAAACTGTGGAAAGAAACTATGCACACAAAACATTATTTACCCATAGTAAATACGCAAACAGCAATCACTTTCTAAACCCATAAAACTCAACGATTTGAAACAGCGTGTTAACCTATATAGTACGGACTTTTGTTGCTACCTTTAATGAGCAATACATTTTTTTTTACCTGACCTGTGTACACGCAGCTGTCAGCTATTTTGAAAGCAATGTAGTGTTACCAACACCTGCGGAATGAAGTAAAAATGCCAAACTAAGTTGAACAAGGGATACTCTGACGTCGGACGAAATCAGCGTATTAATAAATACAGGTTACAGTATTGCTTTTAGAAGGCTGGGTTTAACGTGGCATTTCCGAGACCGTAGGCTCGGCCAAAATTATTCCCTCTTTGAACCCGCATAAACGGGTTCAGGGGTGCTCGTCCGGGTTCCTCTCCGCCCGAAAGCAGAGAGTTAGACTGTTACTTACCCCGGAGGCAAGTTAAAATAGTTATTTTCCAAGCGTAGCTTAGATGTGGCACAAGGCCGAAAGTATGTGGCATCTAGTGAGGATCGAACTCACTTTTCAGTTGTAACTGATCTAGCGAGACAAGTTTGCTAACCATTACACCATGCCGAGGTACCCTGAATATATTCAAGTATAACAGCAGCACCAGGTGACGTGATATAAATCCATTTAGTTTAAGGATCTAAATTATAGATTTAGGATTGTCCCACTTGACAATAGCCGAGTCGATTTTAATTATTGTTTCGTGAATTTAGTAATGTAGCAATTTCAGTTCAATCCGTTGCTAGCACAGTCTTCGAGTCAGTGGTAACAGAGTGAGAAGAGGTTCGGGTGAAATTAATAACGTCTCAACTGGGACATATTCATCTTTTTTTTTTTCACGAATGGAACCACCTGACTCTATGCGTACAAGGGTTCAAGTTTTAAATTTCGTCCGGGGGTAAGAAAGCAAAAAAAGAATCATTATTTTCATTTTTATTGTTATTCGTTTTTTGTTTGAATTCCTGTAATGATGAACTATCATTATATAAACTATTTGCGTACGGACTATTATCCTCATTTTTGTTGTTCTTATCCCAACGTTTCGGTCGTTGTGCCCTCCGGCCATCATCAGGTGTATATTGAGCCGGGCAACCTTCGAGGAATTTCGAAAAGAACTCCTTATTCAATATACGAGGGATAAATATCTATCAATATATATTGTCTAGCCCTTATTTTAGTGTTACACGGTTATCAGAGATTTACTACACGTAGATTAAGTGTGGCACAAGGCCGAAAGTATAGAGCGCCCAGTGAGGAACGAACTCATTACTCAGTCGTAATGGTCAAGTGAGACAAGCTTACACCACGCTAGAGAAACCTTGGTGCAATCATTAGCAATTTGTTCCGTCAGACAATTACGACTGAATAGTGAGTTCGATTATCACTGGGTGCTCCAAACTTTCCACCTTGTGTTGCATCTAAGCTACGCTGAGAAATTCACACATTGAAAAGACCTTATGAATTTTTCAGTGTAGCTTAGATACGGCATAAGGTGAAAAGTGTGGAGCTCCCAGTGAAGATCGAACTCAAAACTCACCCGTAATTGTTCATGCGAGACAAGCTTGCTAGCCATTACACCGTCTCGAGGTGCCCAGTGATTTTCCAAGCGTAGCTTAGATGGTATTTATCAATCCACCCACGGGGAGCGAATGTGGCACAAGGCCTTTTTAATGTGGGTATGTCTGAGCCCGTAGGCCCAGCCAAAAATAAAACCCATCTAAACCCGTCCAAGCGGGCTAGTTCCGTGAACCTCCCCGAACGAAACCCTACCCTTCGGCGGAGCTTCGTCTCGGTTCCTCTCTGCAAGCAGAGAGTTCGACAGACACCCGACCCGGCAGCTCACAAAGCGCAGATACTACACTTTGATCCTAGCCACCGGGCCGAGCGGGTATTCTTTTTATAGATACAGCGTAGCTTAGATGTGGCACAAGGCCGAAAGTAGCGAGCACCCAGTGAGGATCGAACTCACTACTCAGTCGTAATTGTCTAGCGCGAAAAACCTACTTACCATTACACCACGTCGAAGAGCCGTTATGACTTTCTCAGCCTGTGTTAGATGTTGCCGGAAGTGTGGGGCACCCAGTGAGGATCAGACTCATTCCTGAATCGTAAGCTTGTTAACCAGTTACGTCGAAGTGTCCAAAGATGACAACTGTCCTAATGTAAATAATTTTTTTTTTCTTTTGAAAATTCTCCTGGGTGACATTGTCGTATTGAACGTGTACTTATCAAGTTTTTTTGTTTTTTATTTCTGTACACTATAAAGTTGAGCATCAATTTTCATAAAATATATTCTTTATGTCATGTTTTGATTGAATCAATATTATTGCCCGGAGAGTGTAGCGAAGTAAACGTTGGCCAAGTTTTCGGGAAGGTGCAGCCAGCATTTTAATTAAATCCCGCGCCATTTCAAAGCCCAAAGATGTTAGCCGCACCGACTTTATTGTTCTTGAAACAAGAGATCTTGTCTATTACGTCTATCAACGTCCTTAGTGACTCATAAAACCATCCCTAGATCTCTCCACCTATCTTTTTTTTTCTTTTTCTCTTTTTCTTTTCTGATTCTCTCTTTCACTTCTTCGTTTATTTTGCTTTCTTTTTATTTACTTCTTTCTTTCTTTCTTTGTTTATTATCGCTTTTCTACCTTTGCGCTTTTGTCTTTGTTGCTTTTCTTTTTTTTCTTTCTTTCACTTTTTTCTTTTACATTAACGTTCATTAACTGTCTTTCTTTTTTCTTTCTTTCTTTAATTTCAACTTTCTTCCTTTCACTTCATCGTTATTTTTTGTTTGTTTAGTTATAACTCTATCTTTCCTTGACTTTATCTTTTTTTCTTTCTTTTACATTGATTTTCTTTCTTTCTTTCACTTTATCGTTTTTCTTTCTTTCATTTTAATTTTCTTTCTTTTTTTCTCCCTTTCTTTCTTTCACTTTATCGTTTTTCTTTCTTTAATTTCATCTTTCTTTCTTTCCCTCTTTTATTCTTTCTTTCCCTTCATTTTTCTTTCTTTCACTTTCTCTCTCTCTCTCTCTCTCATTCGTTCTTTCTTTCTTTTACTTTATCTTTCTTTCTTCATTTTATCTTTCTTTCTTTCCATCTTTCATTCTTTCTTTCACTGTCTTTTTTCTTTCTTTCATTTTATCTTTCTTTCCCTTCATCTTTCTTTCTTTCACTTTCTCTTTCTCTCTCTCATTCGTTCTTTCTTTCTTTCTTCACCTTATCTTTTTTTCTTTCTTTAACTTTAATTTTCTTTCTTTTTTCTTTCTTTCTTTCACTTTATGGTTTTTCATTCTTTCATTTTATCTTTCTTTAATTTCATCTTCCTTTCTTTCATTTTATCTTTATTTCTTTCCCTCTTTTATTCTTTCCTTCCCTTCATTTTTCTTTCTTTCACTTTCTCTCTCTCTCTCTTTCGTTCTTTCTTTCTTTCACTTTAGCTTTTTTCTTTCTTTCAATTTATCTTTTTTCACTTCATTTCCTTTCTTCCACTTTTTCTTTCTTTCTTTCTTTCTTTCTTTCTTTCTTTCTTCATTCTGGACCATTCTTCTAGCTCTTCTCCGCTTTTACGCCTCTTTCTTTCTTTCTTTCTTTCTTTCTTTCTTTCTTTCTTTCTTTCTTCATTCTGGACCATTCTTCTATCTCTTCTCCGCTTTTACGCCTCTTTCTTTCTTTCTTTCTTTCTTTCTTTCTTTCTTTCTTTCTTCCATTTTGGACCATTCTTCTATCTCTTCTCCGCCTTTACGCCTCTTTCTTTCTTTCTTTCTTTCTTTCTTTTTCTTCATTTGGACCATTCTTCTATCTCTTCTCCGCCTTTTACGCCTCTTTCTTTTCTTTCTTTCTTTCTTTCTTTCTTTCTTTCTTTTTTTCTCCATTCTTCATCTCTTCTCCATTCTTACGCCTCTTTCTTTCTTTCTTTCTTTCTTTCTTTCTTTCTTTCTTTCTTTCTTTCTTTCATTTTGGACCATTCTTCTATCTCTTCTCCGCTTTTACGCCTCTTTCTTTCTTTCTTTCTTTCTTTCTTTCATTTTGGACCATTCTTCTATCTCTTCTCCGCTTTTACGCCTCTTTTTCTTTCTTTCTTTCTTCTTTCTTTTTCTTTCTTTCACTTTCTCTTTCTTTCAATTCGTTTTTATTTCTTTCATTTTATCTTTCTTTCTTTCTTTCATTTTACTTTTACTTTCTTTCAATTTTATTTGTTTTAAGCATTGCACCTCAAGCAAGACGGGAGTGCCACTAGCCTGCTGGGAGTTACAGAGAGTGAAAGTGAAAGAAAACACTGGGTATTAGTGGTTGGTGGGGGGAGGGTAGGGAGATTGAAGAAAAGATAAAAAATGAACGGGGATAAAGACAACAGAAGATGGCAGCTGACGTTGCATTTAAATTCTTGAAGATTGTAGTTGTCAGGGAAGCAAGTAAAAGAAAAGGAGTTCCACTGTCTGGAAGTGCGTGCGAGAAAAGACATCGTTGGAGTAGAAGTGAAGGTACCCCACGGTACGCAAACTCAATAGGTTCTTTGTACTAAATGAATAAAGAGACGAAAATTAATGATATGTTGTGTTTGGTTACTTCTTATTGGTCAAATATGTGCCAAGTTTAACGAAGTAACAAGTAATACTGATATACGTGGGGGAAACATTGAGGATGTTAAAGTCTGTAAAAGTTACAGACGTAACAGGAGGTTTTGAAAAAATTTGTTTTGCTTTGATTTTTCATTAAAGCATATCTCGTGCGTGTTTTGTATATCAGCATCTCTTTGCTTTTTATCATTTCTATTTTGATCTCCGTCGAAGCTTTAATAAAGTGAAACATGTTAGATTGATATCTGTTTCCTACTTGTTCTATACCCTATCATATACATATATATATATTCATGAATTATTCAAAAAAACAATACAAAGGTTAATGATTTAATTGGCGAGAAATCCATCGTCGCAAACAATTCAAATAATATACAAAAACCCCGAACCTGTTTATGAATGAAAAGATCCTTGTTTTTATAAATTTCTGTTGCATTAGTTCTTATTTTTACTACAAGCTTTCGTCTGTTCCTACAGGCATCTTCAGGTATGGAATAGATGTTGTTCTTGGTTTTACTCTCAGTAATAAGAGGACAACGAAAATATATGTATTGTTGTATCCGAAAAATGCTATTAGAAATGAATTATTGTTTTTGGAGCGTGCCGTAGCAACGCTGAGTTTGATTTTAAATTTTTACAATTGTGCGTTCTTGCACAAATATGGTGATAAGTTAATTTTCTGTCAAAGTGGCATGGACTATCTTGTTCAATAATTACAGTAATGTCGCACTTATTATCCAAAAGTTGCACTTGGATGAGATATTTTAATTTCAATAAAGGTGCAATTAATTTACAAATTCATGAATTATTCACACAAAAAACAAATACAAAGGTTAATGATTTAATTGGCGAGAAATCCATCGTCGCAAACAATTCAAATAGTATACAAAAACCCCGAACCTGTTTATTAATTATTAGGAGGATTTGATAATTCTGTTGAGATTTCTATCAGACTCGATGAATTACTTAAATATAATTATCAAATCCTCCTAATAATTTCCATCTATGTATATCATTGCTTGAACCGGCTTCTAATTCTCTAGAGTGAGCGGCTTGGTGAGAGTAGTCGTGGCTCCAGGGGGCACAGTTCTATGGTTACAGTGAACTCAGTAGAGTTCCACCACGGAATATGTGAGCGAGCGGCGCTTTGTTGAGTCTGATTTGCAAACCCTTCGTCACCGAGGCCCAGTGGAACAGTTGGTATGATGTTGACTTGGTAACCTAATTGTCAGGGTTTCAATTCTCGGTAGTGGATGCGCACTGCTGATGAGTCCCAAATATAGGACGAAACGGTCGTCCAGTGCTTTCTGTAAATATATATATATTTCCAGTCGAATCCATAAAATTCACTTGCGTGCTAATACCCTTGGGAAAAGTATTAATTCTCGTCTCCCTCCAGCTGGGTTCTATAGCCTTGGATAGAAACTGGTCTAGGAGAAGAACAATAGTCCCAATAGAGATAGTGTAAAGAAGATGAAGAAGAAGATGCCTATATCAGATATAGAGGAAAGTTCCTTAGAGCAAAAATCATGAAAGTATTTATAGAAAAGGACTACAGAAAAAATATGGTTGGTACCGGAATGACGCCGGATGCCAGTAGAGACTGAAATGGAATCCAGTATTCTCTGCCGACTGCGATTTACAGTCTCCCAATATATAGCGGTCTTCCCAGACCAGATGTACCAAACTATATTGTAAATATTATCGTACCTATTCAGTGTTTCAACGTGACATTTTGTTAACGTTACATTTTGTGTTGTATTCCACATGCTATTTAAGCTTCAACAAAAATCAGGAAAACTATTTATAGAAAATCGTACAGAAAACCGGTTTTCAACGTGAATGACGCCGTAAGATTACAATATACATCCAAACTTACAGTATTCGTCTTTGTATTCTATCAACAGTCTCTAAATATATAGCGGTGCCCCAGACCAGATGTGGCAGCAATATTGCTTAATTTCGGTTATCGTACGAGAACCAGTTTTCAACGTGATATAGCCGTAAGTATTACAACTTCCACTGGTATTCCTATGCTGTCTCCAATCTAGGTACTAACTAGCTTAACTTCGATTATCGTACGAGAACCGGTCTTTCAACGTGATTTTGCTGTAAGTTATATTTTATAACTTACAGCACCTGGTATTGTAAAGAGGTACTACCAATTGTTTGAAAGAAGGCACCGGTGTTTCAATGGATATGGCTCTGATTGTGGAATCCACAGTTCGAATTCCAGTCAAAACCATGGTATTCCCACGCGTTTTCCCACTAGGTACTAATACCCTTGACGTTGGTATGAGTTCTCTTTTTCGTACGAGGTATCGGTGTTTAAAGGATAGACCGTAGGTTATCTATAACTTCTCATGGATGGAAACTGGTCAATTGTTTAAAAGAAATGGCAACCCTAATGCGGGATGGCAGCTCTGTTGTGGAATCGGAAAGATACATGATCGCCTAAGCGTCACATTATGCGCATTACATTCACTGACAGATGCTAATATCCTTAGGAAAAGTATGAATCCTCTTTTCCCCCCAATTATAGGTAAATATCAGGACAGACCGGGTTCTATAGCCTTGGATGGAAACTGGTCTATCAAAAAAAGAAATGGCAATCTACTGCGAGAAAAAAAATCTGCCTCGTGAAAAAAAAAAAAGAACCTATAAAGTAAGCATCAAGCGAGAATCGAGATTACTGAATAATGCTCTACGACAGGCGTCCGTATTTCGTCAGTCTCGTAATGTGGAAGAAGAAAGATCTGAGTTCACAAAGTCCTATTTTATTCGCTATGGTTGACTTCACTGATAATTCCTTTGCACTCGTGACATGATCAAGATGTTTTTTTTTGTGTGTGTTTTCTCGCCATTTTAACATCATCTTCCTATCATTTACGTCTTAACATTGAACCTGATAGCCCCTGACTCGGCAGTATTTTATATTTGTTTTTGCCTTTTGTTACTCGGAGAGCAGAACATTTGCAGTATTCGTACTTCTTCACGGTCTGATAACATTTGCTCCGCGTGATTAATTATTTAACACCAACAATCCACAGGGAAATTTAAATGTGTATTGAAAGAGGAAAAAGCCAAAAAAAAAAAAAAAAAAAAGTGTCAAAAGATTTTTGAATGGAGTAAATCTTAAACAAAGAAAGAAACGATTTTTAGAGAAAAGAAGACTTTGATTGATTGATTTGGTTTTTACGGATTATCAACCTTTTGCAGGTTATTTTAAAGCAGGAGAATATTTTTAGATTATAAGCTTTTTTTTTTAAAGATAATAATAGTTTTTACTGATACAAGTTCTACTAATTAATCAATAACTGGGAAAGAAGTGTTCGATTCATGCCTTTCCCAAGAGTATTTGCGCCAAAGTATATAAAGCGAACACGAATGTAATTTGAACTCAGTCCCCAGATTTCCAATTCGGTGCCGTTATCCATTACACCACCCTCACATCCAAGCTTACCGTACTTTGTATTCTCAAGCGGTCACCATCTAGATACTGACCAGGTTAGACGTTGCTTAACTACGGTGATTGTATGGGAATCGGTATTTCACCGTAAGAAGAGAGAAGATAGGAAAGAAAAGTGCGTGCGTGCGTGTGTGTGTGTGTGAGAGAGAGAGAGAGAGAGAGTGAGAGAGAGCGTGAATAAGAGAGAGAGAGA